CTGGAACACCCTCCCTAGAGAGAGGATTGTGCAATGGTGCCACCTTCAGAGTGATTGGGGCTCTGTGGTCCTGTTTGGTTTGGAGGCGTCTTCTCGGCGGTGGTGAAGGGACCGCATGCCATGGCAAGTGCCATGGATATGGAACTCGTTGCTTTGCATGGCTGCAACAAGGTCCCACGGCAACGGAGCATGCAAGAGGACGCATTGCAGAGGCATGTTTTACTACACTTCAATGGGAAGGCTTTTACAGGTATGGAGGGAAAGACTTCGGCTGTCCCATGATTCTAGACAAAGCATGTATGATGCCTTTGCTATTGCATGGTGTCTACTGCATATGGATTGCAGTTTGGGAACTACTGCCGGAACCTGAGCATGCGCAGGGTCAACAGAGGCGATTGGCCTTTGTATTGTGGACCGGGTTGGGGCGTTTACGGAGTGCGGAGAAGCCGCACACCAGCGCCTTGCGGCTGCCATCGACGAGGGGCATTGGCCCTCTTTTAGTGGTCTCGCCTGCGCACGCTACCGGTCTCATTGCAGCTGCGCACATGCCAGACTGCACGGGTCGGCTATGAGGTGGTCGGACTTCTCTGACCGCCAAGGACTCCCACCGGATTGGTCGCGGCACGGTGTGGATGAGAAGTACGTTACTTGGAGGTTCATGGGTAGTTATAAGTAGGGCTATAAGTAGGGTAACTATACTTATAACCCATATTAGGGGACTTATAACCCCACTTATAACTACCCATGAACCTCCAAGTACGGAGGCTTTCTACCGCCGTTGGCAAATTCGCTACGTGGACCTGATCAGCACTTGACTGGAAGGCGGGGCGAGGCCTATGTCTTACGGCTCTTTTATCCGACCTTCGACACCACTCAACCTTTCGTGGTTACCTTGGATATCAGTCAGCGCAGTCACTTCTCACTTCTCACTGTATTGCCTACGGGAGTGCAAAGGGCGGGAGGTCTCGCCTCCGCAGCGGCTGTATGACGCGCTGGGACAACCGCATTTTCGGCGGATGCTCTCTCATTGTGGAGAAGTCCAGGAGGGGGCGCTCACCATGGCAGTCGAGAAAGGAGGTGTGCAGTGGAACCTTGCCTCGCTGCCGGGAAGTTTTTACTTGGCACAAATTGCTAACGACCATACCACGCCAGAGTTTATTATGCGCTTCCTTCGCCTTCGGCTAGGCGCTTTAGTCGGGTCGGTATTCGATGCCAACTTATTTGTTTTCGGTGACACGAGGACCTGGTTACGATGGTATGACTGGACTGGCGACGGTTGGGCGCCCGGTGAGTAGTGGCGCGGGCGTGAAGAAGGATCCTACCTTTTGACGAGCTCTACAGCGCTGGGTGCGACCGTGTCTTTTCCGACGCAGTGGAAGGACGACCTGCAGGCGCTCAAGTCGGCCCTGGATGCCCAGCCCACACTCCGCCGCCCGACTCTCAAGGGCCTGGCCAGTGGCACTGTTCCTACTAAGGATGACTCTACCCTCACGGTACAGAGAGAAATCCTGAGGGTTTGGATGGAGAAGGAGCGCCGCCGCCGCCCAAGAATTCAGTTACGGAGCACCTTCCGCACCTTCGCCGCATTTTGCCTTCTACTTCAGATTGCGTGACGCTGCTCTCCCTCCCGATGTCCTTGAAAACGGGCTCACTTCGGGTCAACGTTGACCAACTTGGCCCCGATATCGGGGACTTTGCGGACAGAGCAATGCGACTCCGGTGTTGCACTGAGAAGGAAGCCTGGCGTCTTAGCATTAGCCCGCTGTACTGCGGTGCACTGCTGCGGATGCAGGTGGTGATATACGTGCTTCGACACCTCGCGGATCATCCGACGGCCTATCCGCATTTGCGGATTGTGGAGGTTTTCCGCGACACGGACCGTGTGGCAGGCAATGAAAATCGTGATGAGCACATTGGCATCCGTATTGCTGTGTCCTTTGAAGCAGAGGAGATTTGTCCCCTACAATGGGAAGCGGGACGACGGCTCCGTTTGTCTTTCGATAGGGGGGTTGTCGCGCTCCACCATCCCGCCGTCCAGCCTACCAATCTTACTCACCCTCCTCAGTACAAAGGCAGGTTCCGAATTTATCTGCCTTTGGCGGCAGAGTCGCTGGGGTTGAGTCCGGCGACACAATTGCCTCTCCAACCTGCAGGACTACTGGCAGGCGCCTTAGCGAGGGTTCGGCAGTGGAGCCAGCTCGATGGCTACAACACACGAGAAGCTCTCTCGGTGTGGTTACCGGGGCCACGCCGCATCACTCTCTGGTTCCCTGAGCGCCTTCACCTGCTCGGCACATATAGGCTTGAGGGGATTCATGCGTAAATCGTTCGGAGGAACTTTGCGAGCGTGGTGTCGGACAGGGTGAGGCACTTCGAGCCGTATATCCTTGGTGAGAACCTTCCCATCGAGGAATGGGTGTATGCGGCCAGAACATTCATGGAGCAAGGTGGCCTCGCTGAGGGCCTTCAGTATCCCTTCTTGGGATACAAGCTAGTGCCCGGGTACCATAGACGCACACCGCCGCATTTTTTCACCAGGCCGCAACTGCTTGGGCACTACAACCGCAAAGAGTGGCCTTTCTTGTATGCGTTGAACGATGAACATATGGCCGATGCCTCTTACTGGCGACAACATCTTTATGACGTTGCGGATCGCTACTGGGCTTATCATGCCCCGGCCGTCTGGTCCTCTCTCCGGTCGGCAGGCAGATCGAGCAGTGCACACCGCAGGTCTTGGTGATAGGCCGTCTGTTGCGACTTGCAAGCCGCGAGCCATGCTACTGGTGGCTAGCCTAGAAGCTGCCATTGCTTGGATCCATGTCTGGTTAGAGCACAGACTGGATACCCGGGCCATTCGGCTTTGCGATCGCTTAAGGAACAATGCGAGACAGGGCTGAGAACGGGGAAAGCCCTATGCCGCTCAGTTTTGGAAAGCACCAACGTTCCTCATTGAGGTATGTTTACTGTGCTTGCCTCGACGTGGAACAATACCCGGGCCATTCGGCCTTGCGGTTGCTTACGGACTCGAGCGCAGCGGCAGGTTGATGGTGACCTTGTCGTCAATTGCAGCTTTGGCACTGCTTGCGAGTTTGCAAGCCCATTTTTCTGCCCTATTGCAGCGCTTGGACCAATAAGCGACGAGCCTCCTGACGCCAGCGCATCCGTCTCTTGTAAGCAACCGTGCTCTGGTTGCGGAGTGGATGACCACCTTGATCGTCAGGCGAACACAGCCAAAGTTCTTTGGCCTGTCCAACGTGAATTGGAGAGGTTCACTACTGGGCGCCTTATCTGTCTCATTTCCGCTGCCTCTCGTGTGCCTCTGCACTTGGACGGCATCCTATGCTCTGCTCTCCTCTGGGATTTCAAGGGCCGGCGAGCCTTGTTGCCGCTTTGACACATTGCACGTTTACTTTTGCATGTCATGCCGTCATTATGCCATGATGTGCCGCTATGTGCC